GATGGATGGATGGATGGATGGATGGATGGATGGATGGATGGATGGATGGATATATATCTGAACTTGTGACATAGAACTATCTGTAGTTTTCTTTATGAATAGCCTTCTTTTTCTGTAAAAACAGCCTTCTTTGTCTCTTTCTTTTTCTTAATAGCAAATTTGCATGTGTGGCAGGAAATCATATACAGAAATGCTTAACTATTTAGTTTTTGTGTTAATTTGAGAAACAAACTACTGTCAACTTAAAATCAGTTATAATTCTACATATGCCATAATGATCATGCAATACATATTCTATAATGTTAAGTTGGGGAATCATGACAACAAGCAACAGGAAGACAAAATGTTATTGAACATTATTATAACAAAATCAAATAGGTAAATTTCTTAACCTCTTACAGTCACTTTAAAACACTTGGTTTGTCTCAGTTATTCAATTTTAATTTGAACATTTTAATAATTCCCACACACATTTACATGAATGCAGAATGACTGTATGCCATCGGTATGAAAGGGTTTCCAGTTATGGGCTTGTTATCTTGGCTGAGACTGATCCTTTCTCAACTTTTGCACCATGTAATATTTTGTTACAGTGTCAGAAAATCATGTAGTGAACAACTTGCTACAAAATGAACCAAAAGCCCAAAACAATTACTTCTGCTGTGAAGCAGGACTAATCACAGGCAGAGCTCGCCAAGGCTGTATGAGGACCTAAAGAGAATTTTATTGGGAGTCCACCAGCCACTACAGCAACATTTTCCTTTAATGTTGTCAATACCTGATTTTTTTATTTTAATTATGTGGAAAAACACAACTTATTTTATAGTTATAGCTACATATATTTATAATAAAGATGTTTATATAAATTGTAATCAAAAACAATTACCTAAAATAATTGTATTTGCTAAATCCCAGAATAATAGATATTCTATTAGATATCTTTTATTCTGATAAAAATATTATCCAAAAATTTCCTACAGTCATAATAAGGAGTAAAATAGTCAATTTGTAAAATGAAATCAAGGTCCTACAGGGACACAATCAGCCATTCAAGCATAAATTTGAAAATGTTGCACAAGCCTGATGGCACAGATTCCAGACCACTGAAGCATTTAATCAGAAAATCTCTATTTAATTAAACATTACAAAAAGGGAATCAAGACAGAAACCGTTAAACACACAGTGAAAATAACCTGATTCGTTCCCCAATAAATAATAACAAAAAAAAACGTTGGCACAAATTTTTCAATAACAATAATACGTTTTTATTCCATCAAAACAATTCAGATTTGCACATAGTCCTCATTCCTGCTTTAGGGATTCTTCCAGCTCTGTGGCTTTGTTGACTGAAATAAGTAAGTGCAATGCTGCCATCTTGTGGCCTTTGGTGGATATTCACCATGTAAAATGTTGATTTTCCCCCCACATTGTAACCGATTTCAAATGGTGCTAGACATGATGGAAACTCTGAACACCAGAGGAAAACGGTCAGCCTTGATTAGAGGGTCGGAAGAATGGATTCCTATGCTCTTGTCTATTTAATAGCTGATGTTTTGTAGAGCCATACAGTCTGTCAATATGCATCCCATTCCCGGTCCTATTTCAAATTGTTTTGAAAATTACCATCACAAACCAAACAGCAGTCCTACACTGATTGCTAAAGTGAAGTCTGTTCCCGCTCAAGAACACCGATTTCAAATGGTGCTAGATGGGATTTTAGACTCTAAGACACCATCTGAAACCAGTTCCCTGGGGAGGAGGACTTTCAAGCTGACACAGCTTCTGGCACACCTGGGGGGAAATAAACTAATGTCGTTGTTTTCAACATGTTTTATGATTTATCTGCAAGGATGGACCTAGAAATGCAGCACCTTCACATGTGCATTGTCAGAACACTTTAATCAACATCGAACAACATCAGTGAAAGCGTCATTGACCTACTGCCAGTCTTATATTTCTTTTTTTATTCTGTTTTTCCTCTTATCAAATAGGGCAGGAGAATGCTGTTGGCATTCTCTTGCCTGTTTGTTTTTTTGCTCTCACTGCATTATAGCAGCAAGCTATTTTATCTCAAGAGAATGCTGATCTACGTTTTGCTTCTATGAAAGTATGAAAAACAAACTGCTCCTCATTGTTTTAAGCAGCCTTCAAGGTTAAGTAGAGAGCTGCAATTTCACAAAAGAATGTCTGATAATGAAAGACTGAATTCCAGCCTGTATTTTTTTTATTTTTTATGAATAGATGTCTATTTTTCAAAACAGACATCTACATGTACATGCACACTATGTAATTTGGGCATAGTGTACAATATAAAGACTTTTTGAAAGATAGGCAAGCTGATGCTGTAAAGTTTCCTGAACCTAAAAAGGAAACAGATACTCAGCTCAACGTTTTAGCAGCTTGTTAGTGCATCAGATGGCCAAGTTCTCAGGATGGTAGGGCATAGTAGCGAAATGGAAACACAGATCAAGCCTGGCAGAAACTGTCAGTGAATCACGGTGTGGAAAAATAGATCTCAGCAGCGTTCCCGCAGACTTCTTTGTCAGGCATGATGGCATATACTATGCCTTCTCCTGGGCCAACTTCAGTCATCCGGTGCTGCTCCTGGTCCAAATGGGGCCGACTGTAATTGAAGTCAGAAAAAACAAGTTCTGAAAGGAGTAAATAAAAGTGTTAACAAGTAGCGTCTAACTGAATGAGAAACTGATTATGGTATTTCTTTTATTTTGAAATGACAGAACACTCACTGAACTCTGTAGATCTGTGGAGTTATCCTGGCCTGTCAGAGCCTCCGGCTCCTTGCTATCCTGCTGATGGAAAAAAAACAACTACTCCAAACTTTCATGCGTCTGTTGGTTACTTCCTAATCTCTTCTTCACCATTAGTTTAGTGTCATGGCTTCTAAAACAAAAACTACTGCACTGGATTTCAAGGATGTATTTTGAGCAGTGGTAATCGAATTAGGCATATCATTATTGCCACGCAGCCCTGCAGATGTGTGCTCTGGCCAAAAATATTCTCGCTTTCGATAGAATCTGCCACTATTTACATGTCTGCTGTGTCAGCTTCAAGAATAACTCAGGCAGCCATTGTGGTTTAAAGACTGCAGCGCTTCTTACATCCATCTCCTTCTCGTTTATTATGATGAGCCACGTAACATTGGGGTCTGAGAACGTCTCTGTGCGTTCCTCTCTCCTGCTCCCTTGTTCTTTTAACTCCAAGCCCTCTCACCCTCTCCTGTGCGAGCAGAGGCTTCTGACTGCATCAAAGCTGTTTTATTTTTTTCTGCCGAGTCACCTGACCATCCACTGCTTGTTAAAGGCACATCAGCCCCTTTAAAAATCAAAACAAAAGGAACTTACGCAACCATTAGTTTGATTTGGAACGACATCAAACTGAATACGCTGCTCACTTTTAACACGAAACAGATGGAAATAAGACAAAAGAATTCAATTAAAGTGAAATAATAGAAGCAAACCAAATACATTTTTGTTTTTAAATAAATAAATAAATAAATAAAAAGACTTATCCTGATGGTGTCTAACCAGCTTTGATGAACAAATCCATCACTGCATTATGCAGTGCAGTCTGTCAGTAGGTAATTGATGTCACCAGTAGAGAGTCACTGGGTTTGGTCCCATTGGAACAGGTGACTTAAAATCAACAGTGAATGCCTGCATACGTGCAACCTTGTGTTACGTGTGCATAACAGCATGGGGCGGAACAGTGTGCATGGGTGCACGTGTAAACAGTGTAGGTGGTTAATCCTCTTACAGATTATAGGTGCTAATTTATCAGGAGTGAGAGAGGCAACCTTATCAAAGTAATGTGTTTTTAAACTACCTCCTGACAATCGTGCAGCAAAGTGAGTCACGATGTGAATCTGAAGACCTTATTTGCTGAATGTTAATTTGTAAGTATACATATATACAGCTGTAATCACACTGATTAATCTGAAAAACAATCACATGATGCAAAAGTATCAATCAGATGTCACTTCCGTTACGACTCGGCCCATTTGGAAGAAAAACTCAAACAACACCAAATGTTTGGATCATAAAAGGATCTTGAGTTTAACCTTCTGAATTGCATCATTGTCTCCTAAGGGGTTGGGGATTGTGAAATATTTGTAGAAGTGAGAGCCTCGACATGCTCAGAACAGCCTGACACTGTTTGTTCGACCCAAATGCACAATGGATGGAAATAACTACCACACATCAAGGGGTTGATTTACACGTTGTCACAATCTTTTGGCTTGTATGCTGCCAGCTGGGATATATCAGATGTTTTGTTGATAAAGACGGTGGCGTAATCTGTTAAACTAGCTGCTTCAGGGCATCTTCAGACAGTAAAATGGGTCTCCAGTTTCTGAAACAGGGAGCACCTTTATAAACACAGAAGGGACAAAAACAATCTTATTTGCCTAATTTGCAACTTGATGTCCATTTCAGGTACTCAAACAAGCCCACAGAAAGAAAAACAAGCAATTAAATAATTGGAGCACAGAGCGGCCTCTTGGGTTACATCACAGTCGCTAACAATGCTCCAGCACTGTTCAAAAAACAGTTCTGGAGCACATATGGTGTCTACCTGCGAACAAATGCTGCCTCACACTTGTCTATTAATACACCGTCATGTAGCGAGGCCAGCAGTGCACCAGGTTTAATTTTAGCACTGTCATCTCTCGGCCCTGTGCCACTTCCCATTCTATAATCTGAGCGTAGGAGGGATCTGTTTTGAGAGCCAGTGGGTCGCTCGCCATTTTCTCTGATGGTTTATGTTGGCCACAGGTGACACTGGCCCTGCGCTGCAAACACATTTTTCAGGATATTTACAGTGCTTCTTTTGTCTTTGAAGTATGTGTTCGCTCATTTTAAACCAACAGCATCAGCTGAATTTTAAGCAGAGACTGCGTTCTTATTCTAACTACATCTACTGCTGGTAAAATTTGTCCCCAAAACTGTGATTAAAACTATGTTGCGTCTATTTACTTGACTTGAGAGGCTGCACCTCACCGCAAAAGGATAACAAAATAACTATTGAGGTCACATTTCCTTGTTTGGGAAACTGGGTCACTTGTTTCACTGGTCAGCCTAGAAACTCCTGGTAAACATGATGGCTGATCCTCAATCCATAAAACATGGAACGATGCGGTTTACCAGGCCAGTTCACGTAATGTACAGCACATAGTATAATATATGCATTTGGAAGCATGTAAAAACATAGTCGTAAACCGTGTCACTTACTCTGTGATCAGATTATACCTCTTACTGGAACCTTGATGTGTTTGCTTAAAAACTGCCATAACACCATTACTTCCAGGAGTCAAGTTTCTATTCAGTGAACATAATTAAAGCTCTAAAGGTACTCTTCCCTCCCTTTCTCGCTCTCTCAGCCTCTCTTCTTACATTTGCTTGCCAGTGGTTTTGCAACTCATGAGCTCTATTGGTGATTCAGCTGATGACTGAACAAATCCACTCGACAGGATGGTGTTAGCTGCCCCTACCTTTCTCATTTTCACCTCAGGCACCGTGATAAGTGATGAAGCTCTTCGTTCCTATCTTTTTTTTGGCAGGTGAGCAGCAGGAAGCACCACACCTTCGAACATCACAATTGAATTAGATTAGAGGCCCACGGTGGATGTGCCACCCACAATAGTGTCACTTCATAAGATACTTTCGACTCATTTTGTGCCATTGGAGGGATGATTTTCAATGTCTAAGGTAGTAAATTTGCTAAGTGGTTCACAACTAAATAGCAAAAGGAGTCAAATCAAGGTACAATTCAGCTGAAAAATTGCTTAAAGAATTTGCAATTCATTTTAATGTTATTAAAACAAAATGTGTTAATCAGACAAATAAAAACAAACAATGAGAAATAAAGAGGAGTGCAGCAGATCATTTGGTCCAATTAGTATTTTACTCAACAACGCCCCCTACATTCGGGAAGCACATCTTGTTTTGAACATGTCGAGTGCGCACTATAAAGCCAGATTACTATTTCGGACTCTTGAGATCTGTGTGACGCAGCAAAATCCTGATAGACAACGGAAACTTAAATAAAGCTGCGTCATCACTGAGTTTGTATTTCCTCTGAAAAGACGCAAACAACAGACGAGTCCTCTCGCATCGAATTTAAACCACGTTTAACGGCGTACCTTAAGAATATGAGTATTTTTTTTTTTCATTGAATAATAGTGTCGCGGAATGTCGGTAACAGAATAAACATGGCCCGTAAGGCCACGGGACGGTGAATGATTGTGGTAATATGTACTGCGTAACATCGTCCTCTCCCACAACAGGATTACGCACTGTCCATCTCTTGCGCAGCATCCTATTCCGAGCTCTTCCTTGACACGCCATCCCTGCCGATTCCACGTTTTGTTTACATCCACATTTAGTCATTAAAATCGGACAAAAGTCGACTTTTAGAGCAACCACAAGCAGACTGACATGCCGTCGCAGCGAGTTTCGTCCCTCGCAGTGGAAATTCCCACTGGATTTCATGTGGCTTGTCGGACTTCGCGCTGACGCAGTTTCATTTACCTGTTGTCATACCGATGATGAAACATCAGGATTATTAAAAAAAGTGTTCAGAACCGTTCTCATTACAAAGCAACAGCCTATACACGGCTGTGATAAAAACACTTTTATTCGCTTTCATGAAACATCAAGCAACTCTTTCCCGAGCGCCTCCAGGCTCTGATTCTTACCTTCTCATCTGGCGCTCCAGTGGTTATGAATTACATAGTGGTATTCTCTACGCAACCTACGCAGTATTATGTCGCTTCGACCATGTAATAACACAAATAACTTACGTGTTTAGCTCAAGCCTTTCCTCCATCTGTACTGAAGAAATGTGTACCTCATCCTGGCCGGCGCCACCCAGTTCCGGCCCTCGCTGAATATTGACTCCGCCAGGTTCCCGTTTTGGCCTTATTCTGGTTATTATCAATCTCAGAGCGCATGTTTGTCACAGTGTATCCCCTAACGATTTTCCATAGCGCAACATGGGAACCCCGCCCCTGACACTCCTCCGATCACTGATTGGCTGAGGAGATGGAGAGCGTTTCCTCATCGAGAGACTCACATGTGGCTGACGCATGTTTACAAACATCGGGTAAGATCACATGGTAATGAGCGTCCATTTACCGTAAACTACATCCCGCTATGGCCAGATGTCGTGCTGAGAACTTTTTCTTTTTTTCCTTACTGCAGCTTTATGAAAAAAATGAATCGTTGCGTATTTGTTTTTATTTTAGTTATTTTTTTTTGTTTTCTTTGTAATGATTAGCTGTATAATTATATCAGTTACTCACTTACTCTTTCATCCGTAGGCATAAGAAACAGAAACAGTAAATTTACAGTTGTGTCCGAAAGGCTAAATAATATACCTATTCGGTTACCCTATATAAAAACCATATATGTTTTAAAAGCAGTGACCAATGTTGTGCTTTGACTAGGCAAAAACAGCAGTTAGGCTTTTGTTGCCACTTATCTTCAAGGATTTTCAGTTTTTTCCTCACCGTGTTTTCTTTTTTTTGTTGTAAATTTCCATAGATGTTTCATAATGCTTGAAGATCCAAAAGTCTGTCATCCATAATGATAGAAGATGCGCAGATCTTCCTGGAATATTTTTGTAATTACATCTTTTTTACAGCAGATGGCAGTGCGATCCAGCTTTCTTTGTTCCTTTCTTCATTTTTCTCTTACAATGGTGATTATAGAAAATAAAACAAGAAAATGGAGTCAAGTACATATAAATCTACAAACATTTAACTACTACTACTACAACTAATAATAATAATAGAATAAATTTACATTGAAAGTTTGCATGTTTACTCGGATGTTTTCATACAATTTAATGAAATAGAAGCCTATATTTTCTAATATTATGAAGAGTATGGTTTCAATTAATTTAAATCAAGAATATAATAGATTTGCTTTCCTACTCTAATAGCGTTTATTGATTTTGTAAAATATACATTTATTTTCTGAGCCACGTTATCGGGACGTAAACGGTAAAGCATTAACTGTACCATACTTTGAATGGATCTCCAAGTAAACAACTTGGAGATCCATTCAAGTTGTTTACGGTTATTGAAGCACATCGCTGCTCTTCTTTAAAGTCATTTACGGTAAATGACGCCATTACGTCCTACATCTTTTGAATAGCTAGCAGTAAACTAATTAGCACAATCCCGCTCAAATGAAGTCTTTGAAATCTCTTTATGTAAGTACACTTGTCTGGAGGAATACCTACAGAAAAGCAATCAGTTGTGCTTTGGAAACATTTTCCGCTCATTTTGAAAAGGAAAACAGACTGGCTCTTTTATGTTACCACCGTTTGGTTGTAACATAAAACATATATATATATATATATATATATATATATATATATATATATATATATATATAATCGGAAAAAAAAACGAGTTAAGGTTAAAACTTATTATGAAGTTTAGATAATAAACTGATAAATTGCTCTCACTTAAAATGACAAGAAATGCCCAGTAGATGGTGACAAAATACAATTAGTGCTTCGTAAAAACTGACTCACCCTTCCATATTTATTGCAGGCAGTAAACTTGTTTGTTATTAGGCTTATGCATAACTATCTGTCTTTCTTTTCTGGAACCCATTTCAATGCAAGAGATGATATAAGATATTGGTTCTCACAGTGCAGTTTTTATGCCATTTTAAAACTGGTGGCATTTTTTGTTTTAATATTCATGCTTGTGGAGTAATATGGCTTTGTTTATAGTCATCTCTGATCTGCTACCAGTAAACGCCACCCTGCTGACCTTTGCACCATCTCCACTGTACAGACAGTGGTAGCCTTTAGCCCAGCAGGCTCTGTAAGTGAACCATTACGGCAGGCGTGTGTAGCCTGTAAGAACGAAACAGCAAAGGCTGATAAAGGTCACTTTAGCTGGTATGACTGGAGTGCTTAATTTGCTGTGGGAGCATGAACTGCACACAAGCACAAATAAAAAGCCAGGCTTCAGACACACTAAGCAGTCTCACATGATGGGACAGCTGACCTTGTAACCGTATGTTGTGTGACTAAATCCTTCCGGCCATCAGGAGCCAATAGGTCACTCATTTTTATAGTCGCAAAGTATTTTCTCTGCACTGGAACAACAACTGTAAATTGGTATTATTGGTGGTTTGTTGTTAAAATAAACACAAATTTATTCCCTTATATATGAAAACAATCTTTAAGTGGACAATAAAAACATTAGAAGGCACATCCATGTGAACTTCTAAATAGATTAGCATCTCCTTCTGTGAAAATAAGTCCTCAGATTTTTATCGTCAGACGATTAAAGGCTCATCAAAAGTCATTGTGCCATTTTTATGTTGGTACAATAAGTTTAGATTTTTAATCATATAAATCTATGTATGAATCAGAGACCCAAAACAGATTAGAGATTTTGTTTGCAGATTGCCTTACTTCTTTGCTGCAGAAAAGCGGTTGATAAGCCTTTCACTGGCAACATATTTGGCCAACTCATCATTTTTACTTTGATTATGTTTAGAGATTCTTGTGTAATCTTGGCAGTAGGATTTGGAACATTTAATACAAAAGGATAATGTTGTGAGGCTGAGCATCATCTCTCAAAAACAATATTAATTGTTAATCTCCTCAAGCACTTTTTTTACCCATACTTCATGACATTATGACATTTAGGACTTAGTAATTTACTGCTGGTATTCTTTAGCCAGTTTTAAAGTTGTGTCTACACTAAGCATTTTCAATTACTAGTATTTTGCATAACTTTTTTTATTATGTTTTATACCAGCCAAGCATGTCCTTTATTACTGAGGTGATGTTGTTTTTCTTAGTTGTCATAAAAACTTTATCTCTTAAAACCCTCAGGGTGGCTTCAAATTTATGATTATCACAATAATCATGCAGATTTATCAACTATTTGGTGACAATTTTTTAAGGCAGTATAAAAACATATTATTTTAAGATAGAATAGTTTCTCTGTTGGACTGGACCACCTTTCTCACTCCATTTCCATCAGTGAGACCTAAGGTTCATTTGTTGCTAACTTGGATATTCCTGTTACAGACTCACCTCAGATATAAAGTGACCTCTGTTAACCAGGAATACTCCATAAGACCGACAGTTTGAGAAATGCCTTGACTCAGTCATCTTGCAGTCACAAATTGGGTCTTTCCAAACTTGCTCAAATGCTTAAAATTGCCTATTCCCACTGCTTCAGACACATCAGCTAAGGATAAAATACCAACTTGATGCCTAATAAATTCCACCTCCTAACAGGTGCCTAGAAGAAAAGATATGTGGGTATTCACTTCAACTGTCAGTGGTTATAATGTGCCTGATTAAGGGTTACCTTACTTTGTAGGTTTTTATCCAAAAAAATGTTTAGAAATTTAATTGCTATCTTTTCAAGAACAAAATGTCAATTCTCAGGTATATTTAATATTAATAACATATCAATTGTACATTTCAGTTAACACCAGCAAATGGATAGCAAATTATAATAGAACAATAATAAAGGTTATACACAATCAAGTAGGCAAGAACAGGTAGGAAACCAAATAAAATTAATGCATGCATTAGAGAAATCAAAGTCAATTTATAATAAAGTCTGTGTGTGTTCAGACACATCTTCTTGCCAAATGAAATCTGTGGATTTCATTTGAACTTTTTTTTACTACCTTTTAATAATATCTAGGACATTGCAACTGACCAGGCGTCTCATCTAAACCGCTACAGGTTTTATGATGTGCCGTTCACATAGCAAATAAAGTTAAGTTTGTCAGCACAGTCCCAGCTCTCCAACTGTTGCCCCTCCTGAAAGAGGGCCCCACAGTGGTGGCTCCAGGCTGGACATTGTGGGACCTGCGCCTGGCTCCAGGTTTGGTTCTCCGTTGAGGTCCCATCCACCCACAGCCAGCTGTCACAAAGGTAGCGCAGGCCGCTCCACACATGAGTCGTTGAAGCGGTTCTGCTGGTCTGCAGAGCTTTAGTCAGGGCAGATTCAGAGGTTAGGCTGACCAGTTCCTTGTCTAGGCTGCGGCAGTGATTCAAAGCCTCCTCCCAGGTCTTGTTTTCCTTCACCAAAACCAGGCTGCTGTGAAAACAATAGAAAGGGAATTTTTCCTCACAGCTCACTGACTCCCAGCCCTCGTCAGTCTGTGCCACACAGTGCTGATCTTGGATGGACTCTTTCGGTGACATCCAGAGAAAGAACAAAGCATTTTTCCCACCAGACCACTTCCAGTTGTCACTGACATCTTTGTACAGACCAATCCAGATTTTTTTAGAATCAGCACCTACAATCTCTAGACACAGTAGGCAACTGTCAGCGTTTTCTTTACCTCCTTGCCCTAACTCAGTGAGTTTGTCTTGTTCCTCCTGGCTGTTGATTGAGGACAGATCAGTGTGATGCATTCTGCAGTAGTCTCTGGCATCTGACCATGTCATTCTTTCTGAGACATAAATATTATCTCCAAAGAAGTCACAGAGAGCCACACTGAAGAGCTCTGTAAAGAGCAGAGATCTGAGAGCCAGTGTTCTCATACTGATTTTTTTCTTTCATCGCTTCCCTCAATTGGTAGTTTCATTTCTGGGATGTGAGGGGTTCTTAAACACTGTTGAAAATACAGGAAGCACCCAATAAAATTGTGTTCCATGCTTTTCATGGAAATATCTTGGAATTTAGGTACAAATCTACACATGCAAATGTGGAACAGTCAAATTTTCACAAACGAGGCTTAAACCCTCCCGCGGTCTTGGCACGATTCTCAGGAGGAGTGTGGTAAATGTCATGGTTGGAGAGTGGGAAAGCAGGGGGGTGGAGGGGATTGTGTTGTCAGATTGTCAGTTTCTGAAACCAAGTAAAAGAAGACCCTCATAAAAGCTCACAAGCGACCTCGCTGGACCACATACGAAATAAAAACCTCAGGGGTCCAAATGACCCCATTTCATGGGAGGGTTAAGACTGACCTGAGAAAATGAAAGTGATTTTCTAAATTAATATGTTCTTACATGACTGATGAATTTTTAAAATAGTTTCCAAAACACATTTTGACTTACTAAATGAATTACTGAATGAACAATAACCCATTAACATATGTCAAATTGTGTTTACCCCTTTACGGTCTATAGACAGAGTTCTGTATTGTTCTGGGCACACTGAAGCTTGTTAACATTGGTATGTTTTAAATCCTATTTGTTTTTGTTCTATTTGAATACAGAGGAAAGCTTTCCTGGCTATTTTCTGCTTTGTATTTGACAAATTGCTCATTTGCATTTAAGGGTAATCTATGTTAACAATTTGCAATTTGTTGCATGTCAGTGAGTAAAGAATGGTGGATCTGTACAGGTCTGCTAGAGGGTTGGTGCTTCATTAGTTGATCAAATCTTCCATAAAGAAGAATATTCCCTGCTGTGCTTAGTGAAATAACTTAGCAAGGAAATAAATAAAAACTAACAGTTTAAACATCATTCAAGGAAGGCAGATGTATCTCGATCTTTACAAGTCAGGCAATGGCTTTAAGAAAACAGTTTTGTCTTAAGAGGCCCCTTTGTAAAAAGTTTAAAACAATCTTATACTTCATATAATTTAAACAACCAGTCACAGTCAGGTTGATAAACTCAGTAGAAAAAATTTCACTTTGTTTTGTTAAAGCTTTCTGGTTGAAATAAATAAGGAGTTTTTTAAGCAAACAAGCTTTTGTTATTAAAATTTTTGGTGATCATGACATCAGTGACTCATATGAGAGAAATTTATATTAGGTCTAGTTTCAGAGATGACATGGCGATAGTCTATGTTTTACCACTATGAACTCTGTCCAAGTTTATTCTAACTCAGTTAATTTGGGACAACATTTTAAGATAAAAAAATATATATATTCACATATAACTTGACTGAAAATGCCTAAGACAGAGATAATCACAATCATAAGAGCAGCTGAACCTGAAAACATTGTCTACCAAACATATAGGCCAAATTTATCCAAAATGTAGCATAAATATCTTAGCATTTTGTTGGCTAACATCCATTGGGTAGCCAATGGAACAGAGGGGTGATGTGTGCACTTTCAGGCTGATTAATGACCAGATGTTTCACATACGATCTGGACCAACTACGGTGAATTCAGAGGATTTATTAAAATAAAAAAATGTCCTCATAGATCTAAATTCATCCACTGTTTGTGTAATTTTAAGTCCCAAAGTATTTTATTATCATTGGTAGACTGGTTACGTTCAGGAGGCCACATTGTGCAGGTAAACAGCATCAAAGTCCACACTTTTTCAAGTAAAATAATGTAAAACATGTTAATCTGCCTCCATTTTGCTTAAGCCACACAAATCTATATTCAAACTACATCTGAGCTCATCAGTCCTGACAAATGAAATGCAAATAATCTCGTCGGTGTCTGTGTTGCTTGTTTGTTGGGAACTTAAATCTGCTCACAGAATCCCTTTGATGTTGGCTATGGCTTCCTGTTATGAAGATTTGGTTTAAGGTTATTGGCTACATGATAGAAAATTTATGGCTAGTGTCATTTTTTTTGTTCAAATAATGCATATTATATTGTATAACCAACTTTATTTTCTCACGCTTGTGGTTTGATGAGTTATTTTTATTGGTATATCAAGTCAGCACAGCACAAATAAAATGAGAACAACCTGGATTTTAGTAACAAAAACATTTTATGAATATGGAAACAAACATATTTATACATAGAGAACATTGTGAAAGAGAAATTAAAAAATGCTTAACATTGGAGTGGAAGATATGCTTTACAAAAAGAAGTAGGGATTTTCTTTTTCATCCTGACAACTGGGAATCTCCCACTCTGTTATGTAAACAAGCTAATTGTCCTTATAATTCCCTAAGACAGTAGTAAAAGTTGAAAATTCAAATTTGTTGCAAAAAATAGTAAAAAAAAACAAAAACACAATTATAAAAACCACACTGGCATAAAACAGAGATGCACTTTTGATCCTGCCTTGAGTGAGCTTTGACTGAAGGTCAGCTGCAGAGGTTTGGTTGTTCAGCAGGAATAAAACAAGCTGGGAACTACAAAACTTTCCACTGACGTTTATAGAAACACTGTGCATGTGGTTTTCCATCTAACTTTTTGCACAATAATACTAATGTGATCTTTGGGTTCAAAGAGAAAATACCTGTTTGGGTTGTCTTTTAAATTCACGTCAAGGCAACAATGGATTCTTTGAAACAAGCATAGAAAAAACGTGTCTGTTATTTTTATCAAAACATCAGGCCTATTTTCAGCTAGAAGGCATCACTTTGTGGATTAAAGTACAAAAGGATTTTCTGCTTCTTTGTCAGAGATCAACAATACATCCTTGGCATGACTTCATGATTCTACAGATATTGTCACAATAAGACTGAAGTCAGAACAGTTATGAAACTCAGAGTCTCTCTGTCAGTGTGAGCAGACTTCTGCTAACTTCTGCAAAGATTAGTGTTCTCAAACTTTTCACATTACAGGCACTATCATCATTTCGTCATCATTTGCATCTTCATATGGAGTCTTGCTGGTTGAGTAAGAGCAGATGGAGATGTGAATGTTTGTGATTGATTCAAGTTGAATTTGTCTCAGATAAACAGAGAGGTTAGTAGGTGACTGGCACAATGGGATGTTGAAGGGCGTTCCTTGATTCACATCTCTGTGTCAGCCACTGGGTTCTGGGTGGCAGAGTGTCCGTTGGTGGTTGGGGTGGGATTGGTCCCGTTTTCAGGTGGAGACTCTCCATTGGCGGTAGGTTTGTCTGCAGGCTCCTGAGGCAGTGGGGCCACAGATACCAGGGTGTTGGCCTGGTTCTCCTCATCCACCTGGAAAGACTCAGCCTAAGGAGAGAACAGATCCACAGCTTTAGAACGAAGCTTATGTTGGATTGGCCGAGATTTAACCTAAATCATAGCAGGGAAGTTTGTAGGAAAGTGTGTAAGGAGAGTAGATTATGCATTTCTTTTAGAGGTTTATGGGATTTTGCTTTGAGTTCTCTGTAAGACTTTAGCTCTGTTTTGACTTTGGGAAACATTTGCAAACGTGTAAGTGGGTACAACTTGAACGTGAAATATTCATAGATAGTCAGATCATTAGTGCTCCAGTTATCCTACATTTTGTTCAACAGTTTGGCCTCAAATTTAACAAGAACTCTGTAAACAATTTCACAGGCGTGCCTCCATATGTAATTGCTTTAAAAGATGATGTCATATAATTTAGAAAAAACACTAAATCATGTGCAGCTCTCTGGCAAGAAACTAAAGAAAAAACAGCTTAAAGGAGTTTATGTCGCTCTGCGTCACGTAACAGTCAAGCGTGTCCTCCCTTTAGTCATCTAGAAAAATTAAATCCATGTGTTGTTGTTGCTTTCAGATAGACTGTTTGCTCAATTTACTCAGCATGTTGAGATTCAACATTATTGTTTTAAGATTTCTGTTCATGTTGTGTGTAAAAGCCCAGCATGTCATGCTCAGTGTTATTCTCAATGTTGAGTAAGAGGATAAGAATTGTGATCTGAAAACTGAAGTGGCAGTAGCCACTTCAGTTTTTAGCATTGTTTGTGTAAACATTGTGACAACAATAAGCAACTCACCAGTCTGACACCTTTGGAGTTCTTGCGGTGCGTCTTCAAGTAATATAATCCAATCAGCAGCGCAGCCAGCAGCAGGCCAGAAAGCAGTAAGGAAACCAGTACCAACTTTGAGTTCTTCCGCCAGCGAGGAGTGGCTCCGTGGACACCAGTCTGACAGAAGAACAATTAAGTGTACTGTAAGTCAGGCAAATAATCATTGATAATATTTAAGTGATACTGCTTTTATAAGAAGAACATAACCCAAAGAAAGTCAGCACAGCACAAATAAAATGAGAACAACCTGGATTTTAGTAACAAAAACATTTTATGAATATGGAAACAAACATATTAATATGTTTGTTTCCGTTCTTAAACATAGGATCACCACCACAACACATGAATGAGAGCAGGCTAAACATGACACTAAAACTCTACATTCAATGTAAAATTGCACTTCTTTTCAGCTGATTGGGTTAAACTTCACATTTTTATCTTTCAAACATCTTCAGGCAGAAGGAGCTCATGTCTGACATCCCAGAGAAACCCCAGTTCCTGTTTTTTTTCTTCCACAATAGTAATGAAATACATTCAGTGGTTAGTTCAAAAGGACTTATTTAAACTGCACAGTTAGTGTTGTTGCAATCACATTGGGAGGGTTCACCTTTGGCTGACATCATGACATCAGTGCTAATGTTAAGCTTACTTCATGTGGACCTTTTCATTGATACAATTTTAGCAGATCTTCAACATTAAATTATATATATATATATATATATATATATATATATATATATATATATATATATATATATATA